TACATGGAATAGTTAATGTCTTTTTCCCTAAACTTTTGTGATGTAATGTCAATTTTTTTTTAATATTGTAAATTAAATTTTCTTTAAATTGTGTCAAGTAGTATTGAACAGGAGAAGGAATATCTGAAGGATATCCACAATATTCAAGGTGTTTTTTCTTTTCATGTTGTACTGAACTATTTTTTGTTTTATGATTTATTGCATATGATGCAATTTTCCAAGTTGTTGTTATCATCATCATTGTTGTTTTCTTGATTAAAAATTTAAAACCTATATTTATAAATTCCACTTACAGTTTGTACATGAAAGTGAATTTGCAATTCACATGTACAAAATTCAAATTAGCCAATCAGAATTTCACCTCACTCCAAAAATTAAATGAATTTGCCATATTGCCATAAATATTCAAATCCTATGATTTTTTTATTATTAGTTTATAATCTTATGGTTTTTTATTTAATTCTATAATCTTATGATTTTTATCTTTTTTTTCAATTCTTTTTAACATTAGGAATTTTTGAAAGTGTTTATCCATGCTAATAAATGCATCAACCAACACCAGGCTAATGATCATTGTGAAATGATGTTGATAAACTTATTTCAATGCTATAGGGACTGTTGATTAAAAATGGAAATAATAAAATACAATTACCAGGCATATCCAGGACATAAGTATCCACCTTTGTTCTTTATGATTCCATTAACTCATTGGGTTCCAGATGAATTACATTTAATGCTTTGTATTACTGTCCAATTTCGGAGTCTAATGTTATCTGAAACAAAATACCAAAGTTCTGATCAAATAAGGGAACAAATAAAAAAAGAAATGATCAGAATTGGTGTATATTTCAAATCTGGCAAAGTCCAGATTCAAGGAGTTGGAATTATACCAGTCTTATGGGTGGAGATAAATTAAAAGTTCTAAAAAATTATAAATTGGAAAGTGTTTTACCTGAAAATAGAGCAATAATTATTTGTCAGTTGTGAGATGACTTTGATGATATTTATATAGCCTTACAAGATCTTACAACAAATCCAATTGTTTTCAAAAGTCAAGCAAAATTATGATTGACTAAATTTCTAACACCATTAACTGGAGATCCATGTAAAAAAAATTATATAAAAGGATTATATACAAATAATGATGTGACTCCTTATATCCACGTGTTGGTTCATCATATGTATGAATTTATGGTGATTCACCATGATTATGGAATTAAAGCATTTACATGCAGTCCTGTTGAAAAAAAAAATCATATATGGGGCATGCCGCAATAAAACCAGACAAAGTGAACATTGGTATTACCAAAGATTTCAGGGATCAAAATTTAGTAATGTGATTATTAAAATCCCCCATTTGTTATATTTGTTTTTTCTTAATATTAAGTGGTATATAGAATTACCTCTATATAAAAATAACAATATGAAGCTAATTTATATTAGGTCTACCATGGAACCCAAGAATTATAGTACTATCAGAAGTATTTTGAAGAAAGAACAAGGTGTAAAAATTGCACCCTATGTTTTCAAAATAAATGATTTACTATAAAAGACATATCTAAGTGATCAAAAACCTGTAAATATTCATAATAATGTATTATTTGGACATTTATTTCTACTTATACTTGCAATTGGATGTGTCAAACAAAATTTTATGATTCCGTTCTGTAATAACATTTCATAAAATTCATAAAGGTTATGATGATCATTCCTAATTCGATATGTACCGAATATTCATATAGAATATTCAAATCTATAGTCAAATGATTAACATCACTAAGCGAGCAATACGCTTGGAAGTATTTCTTTATTGGATGGTCCATAAACAGGTCTAAGGGTCTTTGATTCCATGGGATACTACAGTCCCCCAAAAAAGTAATGGCAGGGTGTTTTTTTATTATAAAAAAATTTTCTACATAAGAACATATTTCCAAGTTTTTATATCCAGACCGCATTTAGGTAAATGGTATACCTATAAAAAATCAGTACTTGGTATGTCCTCCTTCTGCATCAATGCAGGCCTGAATGCGATCTGGCATACTAGTAACACATCTAAGAACTACATCATCGGGTATATTATTCCACTCCTCCCTTGCTAACGCAATAAATGCCTTCTGTGACACATTTCGTTTTTACGCCACCATTGCCTTGACCCTCTTTTCTACATTGTGCTTGAGAATTGCCCAGATATTTTCGATCGGGTTGAGATCTGGGCTATATGATGGCCAAGGCAAGCCCCACTTCGGCAAATGCAATTCAAGACTGCACGAACTTCCTTTGAAGTATGTTTGGGATTGTTATCTTGCTGGAAAACCCAGCGTTGATCCCTGTAAATGCTATTTGCATTGTCATACAAATTATCATTGAGAATTTTTTGATAGAGGCACCCCGCCATTACTTTTTTGGGGGACTGTAAGCTTTAACCAAATTTTGGTTTATTTTTTCAAATTTTATGTGCAAATATTCGAATTTATTTGTATTGTTTGTTATATTATTATTATATAATGCAAATAACTAAATCTGCAATCATTGTCTCAGATAAATATGAAAAATATAAAATATTACCACTGTGAAAATCACTATGTATAAGTTTTTCTTGATGAGGTGTGTTTAAACCTGAGATAATATTATAAAATTTTTTAATTTTATCATTTCATCCATAATTTGATTTTAAATATTCCTTAAAATCTCCTTTAGCTGCATATCTCATTACAAAAACATATTCATTATTTATATTATTAAAATATTTATCAATAATGTTTGATTTAAATGAATAAAATTAGCAAATAGTTTGATTCTCAAGCAGCAATCGACATAATCTATACATTACAATGTAAAGGACATTGTAAGCCAGGGTTGGCAAATTGACTGGTCCATTGAGAACAGATGGATTTTGGACTGATCCATTGCCATTAGTAAAACACTAAATATGGTCAAAGTGTTACACTAATGGACCCAATAGACCACCAATGGACCATCAATGGACCACATATTTGCCAACCCTGTTGTAAGCATATTATGCTATTATCCACAGAAAGAGGTGGTGAACGTGGAGGTGATACCAATTGTATAGACTATATATTTTGAAATGTTATATTTATGTAAAACATAAGTATAAATAAATGTAAAGATCAAGTTTCTGTGATACTTACATGCTTATGTTTAGGATGTTTTCTAGTTGAACCAACATTATAGTCTATTCGTTCCCTTTTACGAAGGTTAAAATCCCTCCCTGTTACAGGACTAATAGTAGGATCATTATGATAATTGTCTTCAAAATAAAGATTTTACCAAAATTATTAAAATTATTATCAAAGCAGCTCAGATAAAGAAAACCCTAAAAAATAAAATTATATATATACCTAAAGGTTCTTCGGAACCATTTAGTAGGGTTTGTATTCATGGATACTGTAAAGAGACTGTAAAGAGGTCACACAGGGTTACACACTATTAAAATCAAGTGTTTTTAAGGGATTTTTTGCTGATTTATTAGTGCATAACCCCCTTAATGGTATTCATGGTATCCGTGAATACAAACCCTACCATTTAGTTCAACATTTTCTCCAACAGGACCACAATGATCACTATGATCATTATCTTCGAGATCTTGATCTTTACCAAAATTATTAAAATTACTATCAGAGCAGCTCAGATCAAAAACAAATCTAAAAAATAAAATTATATATATACCTAAAGGTTCTTTGGAACCATTTAGTTCAACATTTTCTCCAACAGGACCAAGATGATCACTATGATCATTATCTTCGAGATTTTGATCTTTACCAAAATTATTAAAATTACTATCAGAGCAGCTCAGATCAAAAACAAATCTAAAAAATAAAATTATAT